GCTCGCACAGCCGGGCTCTCACCCGGGAAGCTGCTACAAATAGAACAGCAGCAGTTGAGCCCCCCTCCCCACCTTGTCTTGGGATCTAGGATTTCCTGAGTCATTTGAAGTGTTCCCAGGACCAAAGGCTGTGCCAACTTTCTGCACAGAAGCACTTTCTTATTATTTGTCAGAAAGTAACAGATGGGGGAGGGCTCTGTGTTTTGAACGCAGCAGTTTAGTGAATGATTGGATATATGAGTAGAATAAACAAAGCCAGGAAGCCCTTGGTCACCTGTACTATTTATTTTTTAGGGCTGTTATCCTGCATGCTTGGTAATAGCATTGGAGGGGTGGAGACAGAGCTGTAAGGGACCAGGAGCAGCAGAAGCTCAGTGCTCTGTTACTGTTGAGTTGGTCACCAGAGAACTACAGACCCTGTTCTTCTTCAGCATCACCAGCGTCTTCAGGATCCCAGTTCTGTGAGACACAAAGTCTCAGCCTTGCCCCACACGCCAACACGCAGAGATCTCTGCAGCTGAAGAGGTGACGAGCAGTTCACACCATCTCCAGAGTCTCAGATAAGGCCTCCCTGCTCATACCACTGGCAGAACTCAGCCCAGGAAGAGGGTCACAGCCTGCCAACTTGACCTCATCCTTAATTCTTTTAATCCCAGCCTTTCTCTGTCACACCCTACAATGGTTTATAAATAAACTATGAAAAGACATTAATAAGAAACCCTTTTGTCTTGCAAACTGCCACATAAAACAGATGGTGTGGGTCTTTGGCTGGTACTGTCTGTTTGCTTTTGATATCAGCAATTAGACACACCTCTCAATGGGGCAGGACAGTTTTTTTCTTGGGTGGTTCTGAGGTAAATCACTAGCACCTGAAGAACACTCAATAAGACACAGATACAAGAATCCACAAGGTAAAAATTCAGGTGCTCTGAATAACAGTGATGTTTGCAGTATTCCTGTTCCACTATATTCCCACCAGCTGCCTCAGGCTTTCCAGCACCAGCAAAAGTGAAGACAAACCAAGACAATCAGAAAGAAACTCTTGATGTGGGATAGACATTCAGAGAGGCAGAATAACTGAGCAGAACTGTGACTAGTACTGGGTTTTAATGGGATTTTACTTTTTATGAGAAAGGGTACTATACAACAAAATTGTTCTGTGTTTATTAATGAGCTTGAAAATTCACAGACTAATTTGTGATTCAAATTCATGGAGGTCATGGATAAAACACTGAACTCCTGCACCTTCAGTTGAGGTTGCTGGTTTAAATTGTGTGTGTGAAATACAGTGAGGGCCACTGATTCTTTTTGCAAACCTTAGGATATAGTTAAAACCACATCCATTCCCACTCAGCTCTGTTCCTTGGGATGAATGTGTAGGATATTGCACATGTTACCATTTCTCCAGCTGACTCTTCAGGCAGCTGCAGCAATTTACAGATTTATCCCATTTTATCCTGCTGAGTTTTTTGGTGGGCTGAATGGTTTATTTAAGACTTCCACTCCAGTTTTCAACCCGTTAAATTCCTCTCCAAAGTGAACATTAGAAACCTTAAGACCTGCCTCCAGCTTATCCCTGTTGGTCAGTATCTTGATAAAACTGTCTGAAAATCTTCTAGTCCCTGATAGTGCCTGATCAGTCTCCAGTCAACTCACTGCTCTTTTTGTCTGGTCTGGAAAAATCTCCAGATACTGTTCTGAAATCTCATGGTTGCCTTTACTTACTGCAAATTCTCTGTCTCCCACAGCTTCACCAGGGATCAGCAGAGCTGCACAAGAGCACCAGGCACTGCTAACATGGCAAGAGAGCTGTTTCATGGCTCATACCAATGCTGCAGTCATGGTTGGTGGAGACATTAATTCTGTTGGCTCTGAGGTAATCCACAAGCCATGTTTCTCTTTCACACAGAAATCCAGGTTCTCCAGGGAAAGTTCTGCTTCTTCTTGCAGGCAAACAAAGCACCACCCCATTTCCCAGCACACTGCTGCCACAAATATCCTCTGCAAAAAGCACAAAGCTCAGCCTCACTTTGTTCTTGTTACCACTTTGGTCCCTTTTTATTTTTCTTCATTAGAATGGAGATCCTAATTGTCTCTTCCATTTAGCCTCAGTCAAGTCCTGTCAGCTTTCACCAATTTTGTGGTTACCTTTAGAGCAAAAACTCACTTAGTGGTCACCAGCAATAATCTCCAGAGTAGCAGTGTTGTCAGTCTACAGTTATGTTTCTTACCTGGGATAATATTTCCTTTTCACCTTTTGTATTCTCTCCACTCCAGTTTTCAGAGGAGAATGTTCATAGGCACCCTTTTGATAAGCTCCTAGTGCCTTCTTGTCCTCTGCATCCAGTTTGCTTGATCTTGCCATGGCATAATACCCATCCCTCAGTTTTCCATCCTGCTGGCAAAACAAGGAAGGAATAGGTGCAGGCAGACTCGATTCACTAGATACCAAGAGATGCCCCTATCTCGTTGCCTGGGGTGTGTCATCCACAGGAGTATGGTCCTCAGGTCTTCTGCAGGGAGTCAGTCACAAAGCTGAGAAGTACCATACAATCCTTAGGTTTTGTTCATGATGATAACTTTTAAACTCCCAGTACCTAAACTAAGTCACCTGAATTGATCAGTGGGAGCAGCACATGGTATTCCTACTGATTTGCATGTTCAGATAGACCATTTGCATGCACAGCATGATACAATATGACTCAATCTGCTGTTTTAAATCCTTAATGAGTTGAGCCTTCTGGGCTACCATATTTCACTCACAGCCAATAGAAGCAACAGGATTACCACATCAGAGCTAAGGAGTGCCCTCCAACCTGACAGGATTCTCTCCAACTGTAGTATTTCTGTTAGTGTCAGCTGGAATGGCTTTATTCCCAAAAATATTGTGAAAGAAGTGGGTAGTTCCCAGCTCACTAAAGGCTTTGAAGATGCCTTTCAGACAGTATGTTACCACAAAGCATGGAATTCTGAATAAAATTCTTTACACTCACATTTGATCTTTACATAACATGTTTGAACACCATAATCAAAAGCTGATCATTGAGTTTTAAGTGTGTTTAAATGATAGCAAGGCCTTTGCAGGAAAGTACTGTCAAACCATTTAAAACGTAGAATTTCTTGCCATGCTTTTGGTAACACAGCGATTTTCTTTTGCTTATTGTTTAGATCATCTTGGCCTTCCAGTACCTGAAGGGGCTATAGGAAAGCTGGGGAGGGGCTTTTCACCAAAGAGGGCAGTGACAGGACAAGGCTTAGTGGTTTTAAACTGAAAAAGAGGAGATTCAGGTTAGACATCAGGAGGAAATTCTTCACCATGAGGGTAGTGAGATGCTGGAATAGGTTGCCCAGGGAGGTTGTGGAAGCCCCTTCCTTGGAAGTGTTCAAGGCCAAGTTGGATGAGGCTTGTGCAGCCTGGTCTGGTGTGAGGTGTCCCTGCTCATAGCAGGAAGGTTGGAACCTGATGATCTTTAAGGTCCCTTCCAACCTTAACCATTCTATGATTCTATGAACTGCTATAAATTCAAGTGTAGTTGTTTTCTTCTCTTGTTTTTCTCTGAGTGTCCTACTTGAGGTCCAAACCAGGACCTTGTATGGCTGCCAGGTGCCCACCAAACTGCTCTTTATAACTCCCCTCCTGAAATAGGCAGATGAAGAAAATAAGATTAAAAAGCTGATGGTTTGAAATAAAGATAGGGAGGCTGGTCACCAGTTCCTGTCACGGGCAAAACAGACTTGAGTTAGGGAAATGAATATACTTATTACCAGTTAAAAACAGAGCAGCATAGTGAGAAACAAAGATAAGACTAAAAATACCTTCCTCCCCTCATCCTTCTTCCCACGCTTAACTTCACCCCTTCATTCCCAACTTTTCTGCCTCCTCTGCCAAGCAGCAAAGGGGGTAGGATTTGCAGTCAGTCCATAATACTTTGTCTCTCCTGCTCCGTCCCCTCCCGTCCTTCCCCTGCTCCAGCACAGGTCCCCACCCAGGATCACAGGTCCTGCTCCTGCATAGGCTTCTCTCCACAGGGCCACTGCTCCTGCCAGCAGCCTGCTCCAGCACGGACTCTCCCTGGGCTGCAGCTCCCCTCAGGGCACATCCACCTGCTCTAGTGTGAAGTCCTCCATGGGTGGGTTGCAGGGGGAATGCTACAAGCTGCTTCCCCATGGTGTTCTCCAAAGGCTGCAGAGAAACCTATGTAGGTGTAATGCCTGTAGCACCTCCTCCCCCTCCTTCCTCACTGACCTTGTGTCTGCAGGGCTGTTTCTCTCACATTTTTCTCATTCCTCTCTCGCAGTATTTTTTTACCCTTTCTTAAGTATGTTATCACAGAAGTGCCACCACTGTCACTGATCAGCTTTGTCCTGCAGTGGGTCCATTTTGGAGTCAGCTGGCAGTGGCTTTGTCCAGCATGGGGGCAATCCCTGATCTCTTATCACAGAGGACACCCCTGCAATCCCCCCCTCTACCAAAACCTCACCACGTAAACCAAATAAAAGCAGTAAGATGCTGTTTGAAATATTTTGTAGGAGCTGGGGATCCTCAATGACATATTAAATGCCTCTAAATCCCATAAGATCCAAGATAAACTCCTCAGAGGAGGCATCCTTCCTTCCAAAATGTCTGGAAAGCTCATGTTGGGCACTGCCATGGCTGTATATTTTAAATCATTGTGATAACAGTTGCATAAATGAGGATTTAGGTTTATATTGTGAAATGCTGATTTTTCTTGGAGAAGTCAGCCAGCTCCATGACCAAACAGGATGTGATGTTAGATAGTAGGGATAATAAAGCCACCATGTAATGATGAATACACCCCACCTTGAAATGACTAGAATTTAAATAATGTCAGAAGTTATAGATTAACCCAGGGTTGGGTAAGATTTGGCTGCTCTAGTAAAAGTTGATTATTCTATCTGAATGCTTGTCTACTGAAGAGCAGAAGAGTTGCATCTTCTACACTCAGGCTCTGCAAAAATGGGCAGTTCACATGTAAGTAGTTACTTAATTTGCATTGTCAAGAATGCAACAATTTCCTGATTTTACTTTTGTCCGTTTTCACTTTAAATGACATTCATACAGCTGCAAATTATTATTTAACATCATAGTCTAATGTAAGTGTGGGTGGGAAACTTGGATGTAGTTGGTAACATAGCTTAATTGCAGCATATGATTAATGAAGCTATTTCTGTCACACAGTGTTTTATTGCTCATTGTGGCTTGGTCAAAAAGAGCAGCCCTTTAACTTTGAGAAAAATAAATTATGCATAGGATATCATGCAAGAACTAATTTTAGTTAGCTAAGCAAATTTGTGTGGGACCATTCTGCACACTTAAATAATTCCCCAAAGATGTATGAAAAACTGCCTGTCCCAAAGGCCAACACTTTCAAAATTTGACTGAGTTTATCGCTGAATAGAAGAGACAGGAGTAATCTTGAAACGTGGTGCTCACAGAAGGACTTGATTTAAATTCAGGTGTCAGGATTTACTACACCAAATTGCCATATGAGTTTTGACTGAGACAATTTTAGCTAACATTTGGGTGTTCAATAATAAATACCTAAATCAGCATAAAGATATTTAATCCCTAAACCACTTGATGGTCAAAAGTTTGTGTGGAAGCCGTGAATGATTGGAGCTTCTGAAGGTTAAGTAGCTTGTGCTGAAGAAGTTGGGAGGTTTTAGCTCAATTTTTAAAACTAATGAATAAAAGGCAATATTTACTCAGCAAATGAAAACCTACAGTTTCACAGTATGTATCAATAGAAGACAGCCTGTTTGCTGACACGGGCTGATGTTACATTGTTTTCTCTAAGATTTACTTTATTTTTTTGCGTTAATATTTTTTAATTCAAGTTCAGCAAGGCCGAGAGAGATGCTGAGCATCTGCTGCTTTTGACCAGCTCTCCAGGACATATTCTTTGCCAGGCTGAGCAAGAGAGCCCACAGCTTTTGCACAAAGCTCCAGCCACTAAGTGAAGGAGCTTTTTGTTCCCCTGTGGAAGGGTGGATGGTCTCATCTCTGCACCATCCTTTTGTGGCCTGGCTGCTTGCATAAGGAGAAAGAGCAAACAGCTCAGTAACCATTTGTGTGAGAAGGCCAAGAAGGCTCCTGCCACCCAGCCCCATGTATATTCAATTTAGGTTTAAACTAGCCAGCTGAGGTCCATCTATGGCAAGAAAGATTGCAGCACTGCAGCTCAGGCAGGTTTAGCAATTGTATAAGCTCCTTGCTGGACCAGGTACTTGGGCGTAGGTGCAGTACACCAGAGCTGTGCTTTCATGGAAAGAGGTGTGAACCCATGTCAGAAGAGAATCCCATGATTCTGCCCATGACTCAACTATGAATGTCCATCATTCTGTGTTAGTCCCTAGGAAGTTACAGGTAATCTTGGAGAAATGCCTGCATCTGTATCAGAGAACAGCCTGAAAATACTAAGTCCTTACCAGAGCTTTTCAGCTGCAGTCTGTTCTTTCTCCTAATCTCATGTTTTGCAACCATAGGTTCCTGAGTGTCTTACATATTGTGTTTTTTAAACCTCCAGAGCAAGTCTTACACACTCACAGAGGATATTCGGAAACCAGCCATAGGGACAACCAGTTTGTCAGCAGATGAGCCAGTAAGCACTGTTTTTATGAAGGATGAAAGGGGTACCGTGGTGTTGCAGCACATGTTGCTGTGCTTTATGGTGGCTTTGGGAGGCACTGCAGTGCACAAAGGCAGCTCCTCTTCCATGGTCAAGACTGGCACTAGGAAGCTGGGTGAAATTGGGTTTTCTTTTCATTCTTTGAGTATTGCATTTTCCCAAAATCTTGTCTGATTTGAAATTTCAGAACTGATTTTTTTTTTTTTTTTTTTATTAGCCCAGATTCTGCTGGAAGAAATACCAAATAAATCATCTGTGTCAGTTGAGGTATTTCATTTGGTTAAATGGATTTAGGCTTTAAAACTACTTTTTAAAATGCCATTATTAAACAAAGCTCTCACTGAAAGCTAAGCATTGTTCAAAGAAAAGGTTCCATTACATAGATGTTAAAATGGAACTTTTCAGCTGTATCAAAATGTCTAATTTTAAAAAGGAGCTTTCATCAAAATTAACATCTCCTAAACATGTTAATTTGGAAAAAAAAAAAGAAACAAATATTACTGAACACAAAAAATTCCAGCCAGTTCTAAAGTGTATCTTTTTCTTATAAACTAAGTTCTCAATTAAGAGCTGCACCTGATGCAACATTACAGCTCCAAATCTCCATATTTCCACATGCTTTTAGCTCTCCAAACTTGATCTGGTCCCTTTTTCTACAATCAAAGTTTTTGACTGCACATCCTTAGAGATTTAATGTCTCTGATTATTTTCTTTG